CACCGGAAGTCTGTCATAAGGCCACACACCCCGCCCCCAACGGTCCCGGCCGCCGCCGGCCTTGCAGCTCCACTGCCGAGCCCCATGAGGGGCCCGGCGGTGGGTCTGCAAGGCCGGCGGGAGTGCAAGGAAGCCCCGCGAAGGCCCTCCCTGGCCCCAGGCAGGCAGGGGTGGGGAGGGGCAGGGAGGAAGCAACTTACCCTCCCTCTTCTCCTGCCTCCTCCTGGCTGAATGAGGGCCGGAAGATGGGCGGCCGGAAGCGGGGGGCGGGGCTTCGTCATGTGCCCTGCCCCCGTACCTCACCCGGGGGAACTGCGATCCCCCGCGATCCCCCCCGAAATGACCTCTGGTCGCTGTCCTCAACCGAACGCCGGGCGGAACATCTCTGCCTTGCGTGCCCTGCGGAACGGCACTAAATCCCGCACGGCCTGGATTTCTGCTTGGAAGGGAGTTCCACCAGGTTGGGGTCAGGGCAGAAAAACGCCCTGGCCCTGGCCGAGGACAGCCGGATGTCTCTTGGGCTGGGGAGACCAACAGTAGGTCCTTTTCTGTCGAGCACAATGCTCTGGGGGGGGGCAACCCCCCAGGGGTTCTAGGTGAAGCTAGAGAGGAAGCTTGCCTACTAGAAAGAGGATGTTGCCAGCCCTGCCGCCTGAGATCCTTGAAAGGGGAGATGCCTGGGACCTTCCGCATGCAAAGCAAGGGCTCGAATGCTGAGCTGATATTTATTTATTTACCATTAAATCTTTATCCCGCCCTCCCGGCCAAGGCTGGCTCAGGGCAGCTTACAACAATAAAACTCGCATAAAACAATCGTTATAAAATCACATACATTAATAAATACAGCATTAAAATTCAAACAAGATAAAGTGCTAGCAACAATCCTCTTTATCTCAATCGACTCTTTGGCCTTCTGCAGCTATCTCAGGTCACTGGCACGGGCTGTGTTTGAGGGACCCACGGGCCAGGGCTCCGCCAGGGTAGATATTAACTGGTGGCGGTGGAGGTGTTAGTGGTGGCGGCTCTGGAAACCTGGCGGAAGAGCTCCGTCTTACAGGCCCTGCGGAACTGTGAAAGGTCCTGCAGGGCCCTAATCTCTTCCGGGAGCTCGTTCCACAAGCGTGGAGCCGCCACTGAGAAGGCCCTGGCCCTGGTTGCCACCAGTCTGGCCTCCTTAAAGCTTGGGTCCTTTTGGGAACATATGGGGAAAGGCAGTCCCTTAGGTAATGCGGAAGGCCACGGCTGTTGACGCAGGTTTGACACTTGGGCCCCAAACGGCAGGAAAAGGATTAAATATGAACATATGAAGTTGCCTTCTACTGAATCAGACCCTTGGGGTCCATCAGGGTCGGTATTGCCTACTCAGACTGGGCAGCCGCTCGGCTCTTTATGTAGCAGGAACTCCTTTGCATATTAGGCCACACTCCCCCCCCAATGTAGCCAATCCTCCAAGAGCTTACAGAGCTCTTCTTACAGGAGCTACTGTAAGCTCTTGGAGGATTGGCTACATTAGGGGTGTGTCGCTTAATATGCAAATGAGTACCTGCTACAAAAAGAGCCCTGAATCTCAGAGGTCTTTCAAATCACCTACAAACTGATCCTTTTAACTGGCGATGCCGGGGATTGAACCTGGGACCTTCTGCGTGCCAAGCACAGGCTCTACCCAAAAATAACACCCTACCCAAAAATAACACCCGGCTTCCCTCGTTCTGTTCCTTAGCTTAATATCCGGGCGCCCAGCCAAGCTTCAGAAGAATCTTTCTTGCCCTGATCAACCCTGGACCTTACGTATTTGCTAAATGTCAAATTAACTTTTGGCCTCCTGGCTTCCCATGCAGCTAAACCCGCTAACTGCTCCCCTCCCCTCCCAGCCAAAGCCCAGCCCTCCTGTCTCTCCCTCAGCCCCCTTCCTGGCTGTTCTAGCTCACAGGGCCAGGGAAGATCTCTCGTCGCCTGGCAAGGGGCCCAGCGCTGCTCCTCGAACACCATCCCCTGGGGAAGGTAAGGCAGGGCTGTCGTCATGGCAGTTGGTTCCCGCAGGGCTGGCGCCTCTCCTCTGTTGCCCTCCCCCTCCCATAGCTCCAGGGACACACGCACCACGATAAACAACAAACTCAGACTGAGGCTTAGAAGCCATCGTATTTCCAGTGAATCACGGAATCACAGAGTTGGAAGGGACCTCCAGGGTCATCTAGTCCAACCCCCCTGCACAATGCAGGAAATTCACAAACACCTCCCCCCACCCCCCAAGTGACCCCTGTTCCATGCCCAAAAAATGACAAAAAACCTCTAGAATCATAGAATCATAGAGTTGGAAGGTACCTCCAGGTAATCTACTCCAATCCCCTGCACATTGCGGGAAATTCACAAATATCTCCCCTCCTGGGCATGTAAGAAAGCAGCACAAGAACTAAGCCCTTCCTGCCCTCCCTCTCATTATCTGCCTAAGTTCACAGAATCAGCATTGCTGTCAGATGGCTTCTGCCCGAAAACCTCCAAAGAAGGAGAGCCCACCACCTCCCGAGGAAGCCTGTTCCACTGAGAAACTGCTCTAACGGTCAGGAAGTTCTTCCTAACGTTTCGCCGGAAACTCTTCTGATTTAATTTCAACCCGTTGGTTCTGGCCTGACCTTCTGTGAGAAACCAACCAGGACGCTATGCTCAGCTTGAAGGGGCTGCAGGTCGATAATCTGGTCAGTTCAACTGCTTGTCATGGCATGGAGGCGGAGTCTTAATGCGGGAAGAGGAAGTGGCGCCCCGCGCCCCAGTTACGTACTCTGAGGGCGGAGGCTTGGTCCGGGCCCATACGACAGATCTAAGGCGCCCTTTTCTTTGCCACCCTTGTCCTGCTCGCCAGCTGCTTTCAGCGTTGGAAATTCCTCGGGAGAGAAGGATAACAGTCGGTTTGAGGCCCTTGAACCTGCCAGAGAGACACGCGGACAGTCAGGCAGGGGCTGGTCCATCCCTACGCCCCCCCCCTCCTGCCCCACCAGACCAGACCCTTCACACTCACCACCTTCTGGCCTGGCTGGCTTTCCATTCAGCTGTGCCCATGACTTTGGTCCACCTTGCACTGAATTTGTACCCTGTGGAAGAAAAGCAAAACACAGTGGGTTGCCCATTCCAGCTCCCCCCTCCAAGGAAGAGAGGCCAGCTTCAAAGGGCTCACTGCTCCACCCATTATGACCTCACTTCCTGTTTTGACACGCCTGCCCATTCTCCATCCCAGTGAGACTGAGAGTGAGACTGGCCCGGCTAAGCCATGCCTGTCCTGAGGACATCGGCCCCAACGCGTCAGGAAGACGACGCTATCAGCTACCGTAGCTAAACGGAACCTCCACGTTCCGAGGCAGTCCACCTCTGAGAGCCAACTCTTGGGGACAAGCAATACACAGAAAAGGATCCTGCCACAGAGATTCAACTGCGGGCTTCCCAGGAAAACCTGGCTGGCCCCTTTCCAGAAGGAGAACGCGGGGGCCACCAGAGTAACTCATGCCCACCTCCTGACTGATTGACTGGGTCAGCTTCTGTAAACTGGAGACAGATTTCGGCAAACCCTGCTGCGGCAGCGACTCCTGCGGCTGTGCGGCCGTTGCACTGGAACTGAGGAAAGAAAGCAGAAAGGCGGAGTCAGGAGAACCACACGTGTGACACCGCGGGTGGCCCTTAATATCGGCCTCAAGCAGAGGATCTAAAAACAGAGTCTGGCCTTTCTCTGTTAATGAGAAAGGGAAACACACAGGCAGCATTTCTACCCAACGGCTCACGTGGTCTGCTCCCACGCTCCACTCTTCTGGGCTAATGAGTGCAAACGGTGACACTTTCTTTACGAATATCCAGTCCCCCTTTAAGCACACTCGACGGAAACACACAGGCAGCATTTCTACTCAACGGCTCACGTGGTCGGCTCCCACGCTCCACTGTTCTGGCCTAATGAGTGCAAACGGTGACACTTCTAATCAACACTGTATTTTCCTTTACTAATATCCAGTCCCCCTTTAAGCACACTCGGCTTCTTGCACTGAGTTCCCACCATTCCACTCTGAGATCCCCCCCTCCTCGGTGCTCCGTTGGTTACAGGTCTGGCTGCTCTAGAATCGAGGGCTCCTGTCTGGCCTCCGCGGCCTCAGGCAGTAGATTTAAGACTCCCCGGAAGAGGAAGGGAGAGACATCTCCCGAAACCCAAGAAAGGGGGGCTGCCCCTCCTACCTCTTTTGGTCTGGCGGATCCTGCTTGTTTGCCCATCCTGTCCCGTCCTTGGGTACGATGATGATATTGGGGTCGTTTCCTTTGTTCTCAGACTTCAAACTTGGCAGGTTGGCAGGAGGTGGCATGCGCCGGGCAGCAGCAACTTTCCCAAGACTCTGTAAGCCATGTCGAGGAATAACTGGGGAGGCAAGAAAGAGGGGCAGGCCGGCATAAGGAAACCCGCTCTACCTGCATGCTCATGTACCAGAACAGGTGGGAATTGTATGTCTAGACTCCAGATGGGACAGTCCGTTGCAGCAAAGTAAAACCAGAGTGCCATGGTACCGTACAGACTGCTTGCTAATGTCATTTACAATCCGTGTTTCTCACTGGAACTTAAGTCAATACAATTAACAGGATGGGACATTCAATAAGTAATGCAATAGGGTTAGGACTGTAGAAATCCGGAAGTTGGGCTCTTTTTGTAGCAGGAATTTACAATCTGTGTTTCTCACTGGGACTTAAGTCAATACAATTAACAGGATGGGACATTCAATAAGCAATGCAATACGGTTAGGACTGTAGAAATCCGGAGGGCTCTTTTTGTAGCAGGAATTCCTTTGCATATTAGGCCACACACCCCTAATGTAGCCAATCCTCCAAGAGCTTACAGAGCTCTTCTTACAGGGGCTACTGTAAGCTCTTGGATGATTGGCTACATTAGGGGTGTGTCGCTTAATATGCAAATGAGTACCTACTACAAAAAGAGCCCTGCGAGGACCGGAACTAACCAGAAATCTAAAAAAGGTAACACACTGAATGATGCGAAAATTACACTGTAGATCCTACTTACAGATAGGGTTACCGGGGGATGTCACTGCGTTTCCGACGTTGGGGGCAACACTCTAGGTTTTGGGCAAAACTCTATGGTTTCCTCAGATGCATAGGAGTGGGAATCAGGCCCAATTTATACACACGTCGAAGGGGGCAGCATGTTGAACGCCACAAGGAAAGGCCAGTTCAAAACAAGATCCAATCCAAAAGGTACTCAGTTCACTCAGAGTGGGCAAGAAGACACTTCCGGCTCTCACCAGTCAAAACACAAATGATCGCTAAAGCGCACTGAAAGTCCGTAAAAGATTTTTCAGCCACGTCTTTACAGGGACTTGAAAGCCAGGAGGAGTCTCAGGGCGGCTGACAATCTCCTTTCCCTTCCCCTCCCCACAACAGACACCCTGTGAGGTAGGCGGGGCTGAGAGAGCTCTTTCGAGGACTGCCCTTGAGAGAACAGCTCCGAGAGAACTTGTGACTGACCCAAGGTCACACCAGCAGCTGCATGGGGAGGAGTGGGGAATCAAACCCGGATCTCCCAGATTAGAGTCCACGCTCCTAACCGCTACGCCAAAACTGATCACATGGAGAAGGGGAGAAAGCCGTAAGCCACTTTGGGTCCCCACTGAGAGAAAGGCAGGGTATAATAAATAAATAATTAATTTCTTACTCATGATAAGATCTCATCACATTTTGAACTGCCCATTCCATGCATACATTACTTCAACCGTACCTACGTAACTTCCTATTGTACCTGCTTATCCATTTAAATATCTATACCCCACCTTCCTGGCTCACTTCCTCTTGTGCTAGATTTTATGCTTTGGCGGTGAGCGGCACGATTACCCTTCTGCGCTGGACCTTGTTTTGAACCTGCCTCTCTTTGCACCGTTCCCCCTACCCCACCCCCACCACACACCTTTCTATTTTGTTGGTCTTTAAGGTGGCGTGAGACACTGCTGTTTTATTATGCATCTGGACTGTACCCCCTCTGGCCAAAGTGGTCCCTATTTATCTACTTGCAATGTCTTGCTTTCGAACTGCTAGGTTGGCAGGAGCTGGAACTAGAGACGGGAGCTCACTCCGTTACGCGGCACCCGGGTCTCGAACTGCTGAACTACCGACCTTCCACAGCCTGCAGTTCAGCGTCTTAACCACTTGAGCCACCGCAGCTCCAAATAAAGTCTAGGAGAGCGTAAAACTTGTCTAAGCTGACAGTTGGTTAGATGAAGAGATGGCCAAGGTCACTGGCCAGGTTTTTGCAGTGAGCCGTATACCTTTCTTTGATTTTTGTAAAAGAAAACTCCAATGATTTTCTCAACTGTGCAACTTTTTTGTAATACAGCGCAAATGAGTACAAATGAAATTTTATGCTCCTGGTGGAAGCAGTATGGCTGTAGTATGCATGATAATAATTTATAGTCTGCTTGTCCCACCGAATTGTATTAAAACATGTCTTTGTTTATTGCCTGCTCATCACGCAGAAAATGGCAAAGGACAAGGGTTATGAACGCCTTAACTTATTCCATAGACTTATAAAATGTAAATAAGACACGTGTTTTTATGTGATTGGCATTTGCTGAGATTTGCACTATGTCCGATTTATATCAAAGTCATCAAAAAGATATTCCACACTTTATTTATATAGCACCATCAGCATGTATGGCGCTTTACGGACTAAAAGATCCCTGGCTGGAAGAGCCTGCAGCCTCAAACTAGTACAAATGATATCTCTTGCTGTGCAAAACCCAAACCGTGCTCCTTTGCAATGAGAAACTGGCAATTGTGGAAGACAGAATGCACAAGAGTCGGCTGCACTGTCTTCTCGAAGATCGACTTCCATTACAACTGGTCACACATGAAGCTGCCTTATACTGAATCAGAGCCTCGGTCCGTCAAGGTCAGTATTGTCTACTCAGACCGGCAGCGGCTCTCCAGGGTCTCAGGCAGAGGTCTTTCACGCCACCTACTGCCTGGTCCTTTTTAACTGGAGATGCTGGGGATTGAACCTGGGACCTTCTGCATGCAAAGCAGAGGCTCTTCCACTGACCGGGTTTGATTCCCCACTCCTTCACTTGCACCTGCTGGATGACCTTGGGCAAGCCGTAGCTCTGGCAGAGGTGTTCTTGGAAAAGAGCAGTTTGTGTCAGAGCTCTCTCAGCTCCACCTACCTCACAGGGTGTCTGTTGTAGGGAGGGGAAGGGAAAGGAGATTGTAAGCCGCTCTGAGACTCCCTTGCGTAGTGAAGGGAGGGGTATAAATCCAATCTCCTCCTCCTCTTCTTCTTCTTCTTCTGAGCCACAACCCCTCCCCATCAAGAATGGGGGGGGGATCAGTGTAATGGTACTAAGGAAGGAGCGAATTTTTTTTTGCACCCAGTTGAAAATCCCATTTCCCAGCTGCTTTCATGCTGTGTTATAGGTGGGAGGAGAAACTCAGGCAGGATATGGAAAGAGTCAGTAGATTCCGCTTTAAGACTTACTGTCAGGGCTCCAGATCACAGCTGCCTTGAACTGGCCGGGGAGAGTGCAGCCTGCGCACCACCCACAGCTCTAGCTGGAAGGTGAAAACCGTGGACAGTCCAAGCCCAGGTCGCCTACCTCATCTGACGTTTGGGAGATGATGTGTCAGGGATTGAACCTGGGACCTTCTGCACGCCAAGCAGATGCTCTGCCACTGAGCCACGGTTCCGCCCCTGAAGCAGCATCCAAAGAAGAACATCCAAGGAGATCTCGGGCCAGACTAGGTCATGATCAGTGTTCCCTCTAAGCTGAGTTAGTGTGAGCCGAGCTCACAGCTTTTTAGCCTCCAGCGCACAGATTTTTGTCTTAGCTCAGGAAGGAGGGCTCCAGAGCAAACTGATTTATGCAGTACCCAAATCGCTTGCTCACCACTTTAATGCCAGGAGCTCACAAAGTAGATTTTTTGCTCACGAGACTCCACAGCTTAGAGGGAGCATTGGTCATGAGACGCCCCGAACCGTAGGGAAATTTCCGGGCCGGGCTTGCTTGCTCTTGTAGGTTACACAGCCCACTCCTGACCTGCTGCTCTGTGGCTTTCCTCGCCTCCCTCCCAAATACGCGGGAGTGGGGTCTGACAGTGAAGCCCGGTCAGGAAAACTGGGAAACGAGCTGCCCTTCTGGAGGTCATCGGCAGGTCCAGAGGGAGAAGATGCAGCTGCGGCTCTTGATTAGACTCCAGCCGAGAGTCTCTGCTCGGTGGTGGAACATCTGCTTTGCAGGCAGAAGACCTCAGGCTCAACCCATGACATCTCCAATGCCCTCAAGCGGCAGGCGTTGTGGATGGGAACCCCGTATCTTAGCAAAGAAACAGGCCTACCCAGTTCAAGTTTGCAGGAAACTCTGTTCAGCTTCCCACAACTAGGCAGAGGGGTCAACAACATACAGGTTATTCACCTTAGCCATCGCTCACCATGCCCTGTAAACCCACCGCAGGATCAATTAGCCAATGGGGCGCAGCGGTTAAGTCTGCCGGACTAGGAACTGGAAGACCTCAGTTTGAATCCCCACCGTGCCATGAAAGCTTGCTGGCTGACCCTGAGGGCCAGTCACACTTTCTCAGCATGACCTACCTCCCAGGGCTGTTGTGAGGATAAAAATGGAGGAGAGGAGACTGATGCGTAAGCTGCCTTGGGTCCCCGCTGGGGAGACAGGCAGGGCGTGAATGAATTGAGGGAAGAAATAACTCCCCCAGCCTGACACCTATTCCTCCTCCTTTGCTCTTCACCCTGGCTGGGAACACTGTGTTTTGCACCCCGGGATCCTAAGGGGGAAAAGCTGACTGGTTAAATCCTCCCTGGGCAGACGCTTCAGATGAGCTCCCCACTTTCTGATTGGCCCACTCCTGAAGAAGCTCTGAAAGATGAAGGAGAAAAGAAGAAGAGATTGGATTTATACCCTGCCCTTCACTACTCAAAGGTGTCTCAGAGCAGTTTACAAACTCCTTTCCCTTCCCCTCCCCACAAGAAACACCCTGTGAGGTAGGTGGGGCTGAGAGAGCTCCGAGAGAACTGTCCTTGAGAGAACAGCTCTGCCAGAACTATGGCTTGCCCAAGGTCATCCAGCAGCTGCAAGTGGAAGAGTGGGGAATCAAACCCAGTTCTCCCAGATTAGAGTCCGCGCACTTCACCACTACACCCAACTGGCTCTCAAAGATGGGTCCAAATGCCTTTTGCCAAGTCGGGATACCTGCTGGGGGGACGGGTTAGGCCGGAAGGGCCTCCACAGCCAGGCGCACTGTTTCACTGCATCGGGCCCCAGACCGCACTGAGGATCCCCCTCACTGGGGACTTAACTCATATCTGAATTGGGTTTTAAGAGGTTGCCAACCTCAAGGTGGGGCCTGGAG